CGCTTTAGAGTCCCAGGCAAAACCCACTATTCATGCAGCAAATTAAGCAAATTAACAAGGACAAATGAAGCCAGCAACACTGTTTGCAGACAACTGGGTCTTTTATTAAGTATTTAAGGTGCTACAAAAAACTTAAGGAGCCTTCATATGGCAACTTCTTTTCTGCAGTCTTAGCTCTGTTGAAAGAAGCAAACACAGCTCATTAGCAGAGTCTTTTAGTAAACAGTCCAATACAGCAGCTTCAGGCAGAGATGGCTACTTACAGCTGGGCACTCAATTGCGCCATTATTGATGTCATCAATGATGTCATGAGGGTGCCGGCCATCGATGCTGCAGCCCACAGACTGGGCAGTTCCAAGAATCTCCTTGATTGTTCCTGCAGTGGGAAGACCCAGTTTGTCAGTGTTTTACCAGAGGAAAAACTTTGAAGAACATGTAGAGAACTCAATTCCTCACAGCTCAGCTGTCCTTCCCTCCCGCCCTCTGGGGTTTGCAGGCTGTAGCCACGGGGTTCACAAAGGGGAAGTCACTTAAGCTACCCCCAGCATACTCGTTTCCAGGGAACACATGAGAAAGCACCACATACTGTCACCATGTACCTTTCACCGAACGGTGAGGCCAGCTGCTCATGGCCAGCACAAGGTTGTCCCTGTGGCACTCGGCACCTAAGCAGCTACATGAGCTGCACCACCACACCACAGCTATGGGCCCTCCCAGGAGCCAGACCAGAGCGTGGCTCAGGCACTCAGAGCAAGCAGAGGGAGGACTCTGCAGCGCCAACACTGGTGCCTACCCGAGAGCTCTCGAGCCAGGGACCTGTGCCGCATCTGCCGCGCGATGTTCACTATCTCATCAAAGCTGACGCTGCCGCTGTGCTTAACTGTGGAGAAAAGCAAGTAAGGTCATGTAAACACAGGCACTCCCAGTTCCCTGTGCCTCGTGAGAGACGCACCATTCCCAGCACTCGGACCACAACGGAGAGTTCACAACTACAGCAGGGCTGCCATCAGCACCCCTGTTCCCAGACTTCGGCACAAAGTTACCCACGAGAAGAATAACTCTTTTTCCTAAGTTGGCATTTTCTGTCAGCTCACCTCCGGACCGTACTAGTCACTGTGTTACAAGACAGGTACAATGGCGAGTAGCTGTTCTACCTGCTCTCCAAGAAATCGGACTCTGCTGGCATACAACTGTTGTCCGTACT